TCGCGTTGAAGCGGGGGAGGAGGGGCTGGCCGCGGGTGGGAGGGAGGCCAGCGGGGCTGGAGGCTTCCTTCCTTTATTTATTTATTTATTTATCTGTTTATTTATTTTTTTAAGGTTTGCGATCCCTGCACGGCGGCAAGCTGCTTTTCGTGGCTTTTTTTCCTAAGCGCCCCCCCCCCCCTTTTGGTCTGATCCAGCCCGGGGTTGTTCTTCTTCTTATGTCCTTATGGGGCGTAGAGGGGTCGCCAGCGCTCCCTCTTAAGCTGTGGAGTCTTGTGAGCAAAACCTCTACTGGGTGAGCTCCTGGCGCTAAAGTTGTGAGCGAGCCCGTTTGGCTGCTGCCGCCCTGGGCCGCTTGGGTAGGGCGGGATATAAATCCCAAGTAAATAATTAAATAAAATCAGTTTGCTTTTTTGGAGCCGTCCCTTCCTGAGCGGAGACAAAAAATATGTGTGAGCTGGAGGCTAAAGAACTGTGAGCTGGCTCACACTCACTCAGCTTAGAGGGAAGGGCTCTTTTTGTAGCAGGAACTCCTTTGCATATTAGGCGACACACCCCTAAAGTAGCCAATCCTCCAAGAGCTTACAGTATCCCCTGTAAGAAGAGCTCTGTAAGCTCTTGGCGGGTTTGCTACATTAGGGGTGTGTCGCCTAATATGCAAAGGAGTTCCTGCTACAAAAAGCCCTGGAGGGAACACTGTCCACTGGTGGGCAGGAAGTCAGTGAGGCCGGATGCTTTATTTTTCTACTTATTTATTTTTGAAGGTTTGCAATCTCTGCGCCACGACAAGCTGCTTTCGTGACCTTTTTTCCTAACTGCTTCCCCCCCTTTTTTTGGTCTCATCCAGTCCGGGGTGGTTGTTCTTAGGTCCTTCATTCAAGCTGGGGCGTAGAGGGGTCACCAACGCTCCCTCTAAGCTGTGGAGTCTTGTGAGCAAGAACTCTACTTTGTGAGCGACTACTGGCATTAAAGTTGTGAGCGAGCCGTTTGGCCGCTGCGTAAACCAGTTTGCTCTTCTGGAGCCGTCCCTTCCTGAGCGGAGACAAAAAATATGTGTGACCTCTTCAGGCAGGCCGCTCTATAAGGTGGAGGCCACCACAGGAAAGCCATGTCTGCAGGCAGTTGTTGATTTTGCCCTTTCGCAGGTTAGCACCTGCAGAAGACCGTGGCTCCAGTAAGCGAAGCTGTCTTAGCGGACCGTAGGGGAAGAGGCGGCCTCAAAGATATGAGGGGTCAAGGCCGTGAAGGGCTTTGTATGTGATGGATACCAGCTACCTTTGCAGACCTGCAACCCACTGAGCCTCAAATAAAGGGATAGTTCAGTTCAGACATCTTTAATGGCATAGTAGTATATAATAAATACATTTAAGAAGATACATTTAATTCCAGTAAGTAAATTAAGACAATAAAATATGCGTGCTATGTAAAAAGACTGTATCTAAGTGCGGCTGATTCAGCTAAGAATTCTGCAACCATAATTGTGGTAGGAATAGGTCACATGCCATCAGAGTCACATGACAGGAAAAGGAGGGAGCCAGTGTTACAGTTTTACCACTGTCAAGGCTTGGATGACAGACCGAAGAGCCAGGAACATGAATAAAGTTGTGGGGCAAAGCCACCAAGGAATCCTCTTTGCCACCCGTTGACCTCCCCGTAACATTGCTCCTCTGAGTGTGCATGCATTCTGAGGGCTGGCACACTTGCTCTCTACCTGCGTGTCCTAGCATCAGGACATTTCAGAAGGTACCAAAAAGTAGGGGGGCGGCTCTTCAGGGGCCTGTATTCCGTTAGGTAGGTCAGTTACCTCCCCCTGAGGGTTTCAACCTGTTGCCTGGAGACAATTGATTTAGTCTCTTGTAGCAGACTTCTGCCTGCATGTCAAATCTAGAGCAGTTGTAAAGGCACGGATTGCCTTTCTTATAATGCTCATGATTTTGTTAGTAAGCAGTTAGTAGACATTTAACTGACTAGACTAGTCAATGACCGGAACCTGCAAGAAGTAAATATTGGCATCTCACTTCCTTATAGATATTGTGGTGGATTAGTTACTGGGAGGGGATTATCCTCTGATACGTTGTCTCCACAAATGCCGTAGTTTTGAATAAAAGGGGTGGGGTTTTTTAGTGTGGTTCTCCCCCTCCTGTTTCCTTTTTTTCCAATTGAAGAAGAATTATGATTTTTGTCTCTATCAAAAGTTTAGTGCTCCTGTTTACTAATAGAGCCAGGTCCTCTCTGATCAGATTTGCATTTCTGCCCTAACACATTTGTTTGGGAAAAAAAGCCCTATTGATTCCAGTGTTTAGGATTACAGCCTTAGGTACTCATTCGTCTTTCAGATATCCCTGTCGTCGTGTGTAGACTTGGACCCTCGTGTGTGTTCTAGGTATTTTTACAGTATCATTTGAATGTAGTTATACACAAAGAGTTCATAGAGGCCACTGTTGAGTCCCGATACAGCTGTCTTTTGGGTTTTTTTTTAAAAGAATCTGATGCTAAGATCCCTGTGCCGTACCTCCTGCATATCTTGGCATGCAGGTGGGACCAGCAGAGAAGCAAGATTCGCTCACTCAGCAGTAGAGATAATTCCTTTTTTTTAGCATATACTAGTTCAAATATTTTGTTTTTCCTCTTCCTGTCATATGACTGGCGCCGCAGTGAGTCCTGCTACCACATGGGAGGTTAAAAGGTGGACCTGGAAAGGTTGGAACTTTGTGCTGGAGTGACAGATACTGCAGTTAGTATATATTAACGCAGGGTTTGACAAATCCCTGGTTGCCATGGGGCCTGGAAATTCCATTGTGGTGCCTAGTATTTTCAGCAGTGATTTAATTGTAGCTTCTCTGAGCATTTCTCAGAGGCAGTACAAAGGATGGATGAAACGGGTTCTTTCACTGCTGAAAAAGGGAAGAAGGGGTCTCTCATGACCACAAAAGAAACCCAGCTTGGGATCATGGGACCTATACAGGACAAAAGTCGTGTAGCTGTAACAAGAATTAGCGGAGGAGGTTGTACAAAACAAGCTGGCTGGATCCAACCGAAAGCTTCTTTATTATTTGGTATCAGAATGTTTTGTTCTATGACATGAAACAAATGTGCACGAAGTTCTTCTGATTGCTTGTTTATGTGTAAACTTAACTTTATACTGTTCAGAGATGGTGGATGGATTCAGTTTTTTGGTTGCTTCTTACAGTATATACCAGTTAGTCTCCAGGTCCAATTCAAGGTGTTGGCGCTAACCTTCGAAGCCCTCAACGGTCTGGGACGCTCATACCTATGGGACCGCCTCTCCCGTTACAGCCCCCACACTCCCTTTGGTCATTGTCTAGGGGCCTCTTGCAGGTGCCTGGCCCCAAGATGACATGGTTAGCTGTCACCAGGGAAGGGCCTTCTCAGTTGTGGCCCCTACTCTGTGGAATGCACTCCCGGATGGCACCCGCACCCTAGCGGAATTGTTTAGTTTCCGCAGGGGGCATGCAAGGCTGAGCTGCTTAGGTTGGTCTTGGGAGGGTAACCACATGTTTGGGCCGTTTCAGAAGTGATGTGGTGATAGCCACATATTTTAATATTTTAATGTTAATATTTTATTGCTAATTTATATTTGTTGCTTGTTTTTATGTTCTTTTTAACTGATTTGTTTTAATGTTGTGAGTCACCAGGAGACCCTTTGGGTGAGTGGCGACTAAAAAATCTGGCAGGGAGGGCAGGAGAAACATTTAATTAAATAAATAGATAAATAAAAATCCAACAGATAAAAATGCCGGGGCTTCAGTATTAAGCTAAACAAAGCTTTTAAAAGCAAATGATGGGATTATGAAAAATTGGGGAGCACTTAGGCTCCAGTCAGAGGTTAACTTTTTTGTCGTGGTCATGATAAACAGGGTTACTCCTATATTTATTTATATACAGCAATATGTTTGGCATAGTTTTCATACTGTTTAATACTATTATGAGAAACTGTGAAGACGTTAGGATTAGGTGTTTTTGGCAACACTACCTAAAAAATGTGGTCAGTGAAAAGCAAACCCCAAAAGCTAAAGGGGGGGGGGAGAGTCTGGCTGCTACGTTTTTGGGATGGCTCCGAAGGAAAGTTGTCTTGAACTCAAATACCCCCATGTTCATTTTAATAAAAGACAAGGTTTTGAATGCATGTATGTACGACTTGTATAGAAGAGGCTTTGTGGATGAGTCAGGGGATCTCTGACTGAGTCGTGAGGTAATTGTGGCATCGCACACTTCAGGTGATAGGATGAGAGAAAATAGCCACTCTCCGCCTTTAGCAGCACTACCATTGTATTGTAGCGTAATGCTGGATCCGACCCTTCCATGAACAGTGAATTGGTGGCACGGGTCCACGTTCCTCTTCGCTGTAGAGGCCTCTGTGACATCTCACCCAGAAGCTGGTTGCTAGGGCTTATTTATGCTATTATATTAGGTTTGTATACTGCCCTCCCCGGGAGAGGGCTCAAGAGACCCTCGTGGGATGTGTCATAGCAGGTTGCTGCAAGGAGGAGGAAG